AAAAAAAAACTGATACGAATTCAATTACAGATTATAAACAATTTAAAGATGTTAAAGAGACAAATAATAAATCAATTGAAGATGCAACAATATATGAAAGCGTATTTGAAAAAACAATTCAAGACACTGAATCTAACACACAAAGATTAATTAACACAAATGTATTCGAAACAAAGACGGAAAGAATTAATTTCGAAAATATAAACAAAGAATCAAATGCATACACTAAAATATATACTAATAATTCAGATAAATCTATTAGAAATAAAACTATTAACATAGAAAACCATGCATTAGGCAATGAAGATGTTTTTAATTTTACGCCCAAAGAAATAGATTTAAATAACAAAGAAATGAATATTGTAAATAAAATTGAAAGTACAGATTCAAATAAAATACTAAACATAGTTAAGAAAGATTCAAATACAACTGAATTCATTAATGAAATATACAAAGATAATAAAGCAAAATCACTAGAACATATAAGACAAGATACAAGAAAATCTTACGAAAGACTACAAAGTGATAAAAGCGGAAGAGATTTTGACATGAGAAGGACAACTTCGGTAGCAGAATTAGAGATAGGAGGAGTAGTTAAAGGGAGAGTTTACGAAATGATTATGAGAATAAACTCTATGGAAATACTTTCACATAATAAAAAAGATATACAAAGAGAACAGCCAAGAAAAAGTTCCGTTTCAGAAAAGATTGCTTTATTTGAGGTTAGTAGAAATACGGTTATTTTAAAAACAATGCGACTGAATGCCTTTAAAAGACAGAAGAAAGTATGTATTGTAGAGGAAATGCTAGAGAAGAGAGTGAATTCTGATATTCAGACTGATAGAGATGTATGTAAGAGTACATAAACAATGTTAAAGACTAGCTTTTGTCCGCGACTCCGCCCGACTGGAATAAAAAAACAAAACTAAGTCTCTGTTTTTCCAGACTATATCGTCTATGTCTAATTTCATCAAGATCCGTTCGGTTTAGACTACAAACTGTAACAAACATCCATCTAAACTCTCTTATTTATAATATTAGTAAAATTTACTACGAGTAATATTTATTTTAGTAAGAACTACGTTTCTGAACGACATTAACGTTTTTAATTATTAATTAATTACCAAACACATTGGTCCACTAAACCCTTTTATTGGTTATTAACAGATATCTTAATTATTATGAAGATTTTTCATACTTAAATATTGTTTTGACATTTTTAAGTCAGTGTTAAACATCGCGCACATCTATTGGTATGTAGTTAAATGTAATATGCAATGACTTGTTTAGTTTTATAAAAAAACTATCAACAGTCTCCATATATCCAGATTCACAAAAATTATTGAAGTTAAGCGCCATCTATTGATGAAATTTCAAAACAATTTTTTTTATTAATTTTTTTCAGTAAGAAACTAACGTGTAAATGAAAAACGCATTTCTCCTTAAAAATATTTTAAGCTTTATGACAATATAAATAGATTTAATTTAATAACAAAATAATGAAATATATCAAAATAAAAGTCAACGCCATCTAGTGGTCAGTTATCTTTTAATTTACTTAACGAAATTACATTTAAAAAAGTTTACTAATTAAAAAGCACTGATATATTTACTTATTTTATCTTAATATTTAAATCCGTTACCTCAATTACTTTAGAGATCTTAAAACGGTATAATTTAATGTAAATTTTAACAAGTTTCATCTCAAATACGTGTTCATCAAGCGTTAAATTGTAAATGAGAACATTGGACCAATTTCTTTCTTTGCAGTTTAATTTAGTTTATGACTCGGACTCGCCGTACAATGTATTTAAAGTGTTTAATCATGGTGCTAGTAATAATTGTGAGTATTTATTTATACTTTTTGTGTATGAACAAGGGAGTGACAGATGATGGATGATAGAGTTATTTGGAGGACGAAAACCCAGTGCGCCACTACAGGAGTAGGATAAGGTAGGGGAGATGATAATACTTTTTGTGGATAGTGCTGTGTGACACAGGATAAAGGTAAGAATGCTATATTAAAAGATATATCACAAGGTGGAAAAAGAGCAAGCGGCCACCTGAATCCGCCAAAATGACGAAGCGACCGCTGCTCATAGACATCCGCAACAGCGAATGCGTTGCCTACCCTTAATCGACGGAGGATGAGACATACAAAAAGAGGATGTTTCCCCTTCTATGCGTCCACCAAATCATAATATCAAATCCACGTTCCCTTCCTATCCTTTTTTTATTAGTAAAAGAATGGAAAGGGAAAGGGACTAAGATTGTGCCACCGGCACCACACATATCAGCTTAAACGCGGAATTGCCACCACTTCACGCCATTCTTCTGTGTGGTTGTGGTATTTCACCGGGTGAGCCGACCCATTCGTGCGAAGATTTAAAGCGGGCTCTACCACTGCAAAAGAAGAAGTTTAAAAGTAGCACCAGTGGTTGAGATATTAAGAAGGAAATGGTTAGAGTATGGACATATACGAGATAGGGACATAAACCAGAAAGTGTTAAGATCGAATGTGGATGGCTATGAAGGTGGAAGACCGAAGAAAGTATTGAGTGAAAGATATGTTTAAGGGAGTGAATTCAGATATGACGGCTGATAGAGATGTATGGAGTACTGTGTCGACACTCTTAGGGACAAGGACGAGTTTTGTGTAAATTTAAATAGAATATAATAGTTTCTCTAAAATTACAACAACTACGTTAAAATGTACCATTTAGTACTTTTATTGTAAAATTAATGTTATAAAACTCGCTTAGTTGCTAGTTATAAGAAATATAAGTATTTTGTCGAATACTAGCTGTTCCCGTGCGGCTTCATCCGCATGAAATTGTGAAAATTTTATTTTATTGATTACATTTGTTAAATTCAATTGCAAATGTCAAAATGACAGACGTGACAGAGACAAAGCATGGCAATTTTGTTTCCTTGATGTTGGCAACAACTTATGGTCTCTTTCTTACATTAGGGTTTTTATCCAAAATAAACCCCCTAAGTTTAATCTCGTGAAAATATATAGCCTAAAACATGACGTAAGTGTAGGGCATTTTATTTAAAAAAAGAATTATTAAAAAATATGGTGTAATTACTGACATCTTAGGCAACAAAGAAGTGTGTGTTTACGCTTTATTATAAATGCGAAAGTTTAGATGGATGTTTGTTAGATTGTAGCCTAAACTGAACGGATCTCAATGAAAGTCATAGATGTAGAGGATAGTCTGGAACACATAGAATTGCTTTTGTTTGTTCAATTCCACACGGACGGAGTTGAAAAAGCTAGTGTTAGGAATAAAATTAGTACCGTGCTGTAGAATTGGCGCAACTCTAGATTATCGGCATAAACGTCACGTCCCTAGCTGACAGCTGTCAATGTCACTAGAAGTATGGATAGATTGGCGCGCATCCTGAGTCCTGACGAGAAGTGTTGCTCTGAGTTTAAAGCGACAGTATCAATTAAATAAGTCGTCTAATACTAGTAAAAAATAAATAAATATCGAACGTACTTTATCGATAACATCAAAAATATCTTGACAGCAGATTTGATTCTCTTTTGTTTTTTTCTTATATAATCTTATCTCAAAATATCTTAACAATTCGATTGATATAATATTTGTAAAAGTAACCTCAGTAACAAATAACAATTCCAGGGTAAACTACCTCCAATCAAAACGGAGAAGAGGAAAGAAATATACAGAATAAAGAACGATACAGAAGTGAGCGTGGAAATGACGGAAGAAGATTATGCTAAGAAGATAGAGGAATTGAAAAACGTAAAGAATAATTATGAAACTATATTACCTGAGTATTTGGAGTTGAGAGATAATTCGGAGATGCCAGTTATAGCTTTAGGAACTGCTTTGGTAAGTCAATTGTTTTAAAATAAATCTATACTAATACTAGCTTCCGCCCGCGACTCCGTCCGCGTGGTATTAATGAAAACAAAAGAAAGTACCCTACGTGTTCTTCCAGACTATCCTCTACATCTGTGCCAAATTTCATCCAGATCCGTTCAGCCATTTAGGCTACAAACTCTAACAAACATCCATCCATCCATCCATCTTAACTTTTCCATTTATAATAGTAGTAAGATTTCAATATGAACTCAAAAATTACTAGGACGATTTTTAAAATTCTTTCACCGTTGAAAAGTTACGTTATAGCTAAGTAAAGTATGTTTTATTTTTTAATTTCTCGTGGACGAAGTCCTGAGCAATAGCTAGTTTTAATAAAAATTACATATAAAACCAAAAATGTTAATAACAATAAAAGAAATACGTTTCTCACTATCATAATACAAATTTTAATGCAGAAACTTATCTGTGTTTTTAAGTATGTAACAAACAAGTCTTTTTTATAGGTTTCTATCATAAAAATACTCTTGTAATTCGTTTTACAACTACTCATATTTGAGAATATGTTGCAACTAGTTGTATTTAATTACAATAGATGGCGCTATTTAACAAATATATTTTCAAATTTCACGTTAAAAATTACATCACAATCTTTTCAAAATAATTTAATTATACTTCAGTTAAAATTATTTATTTCCTTGTAAAATTATAATTCAATGTGTTATTAAACGTTTTCTAGTTGGACAAACGACTAATCAAAGATGTGGTGGAAGCCGCTATAGAGATGGGATACCGTGCCATAGACACAGCCTATATCTACGGTAATGAAAAGGAAATAGGAGAAGCCATAAATAACAAGATAAACGATGGAACTGTTAAAAGGTACAACATAATTACGCAATAACATAATTTTTATTAAGTTTTCAAATTATTTCTTTTTGTCGGTAGATGGCGTTGTTTCCGAATAATCAATTTCAATTTAAATTTAAATTCTTTTGTCTAAGCTACTACTTTTCGCCGATAGATGGCGTTGTTTTAAAATATCATATTTCATGGACATTTTATTTTTTCTTCATTTGTTTCTTGTTGTATCGGAGATACTACGTATTTAGTTACTAATTTCTTAGTCCTGTTTTTGATATTTTTATCCTGTAAAGCTATTATGAAACTTATATAACCTATAAATTGTTTCAGGGAGGATCTTTACATAATGTCCAAACTATGGAGTACATACCATAGAAGAGACTTAGTAGAGAAAGCGTGCAAACAGTCACTAGACAATATGGGATTGACATATTTCGATTTATATTTAATACATAATCCAATGTCATTATTGGTAAGATTTTTATAAAGGCGGGAAAATGTGTAGGACTTATTGTTGCTCGCGACTTCGAAATAAAAAAATATAACCTATATTACTCACTGATAACCCTTTTAATGAGAATTTGTTAAATTGTCCCAGTAGTTTTTGAGTTATTTCAATACACACAAAAATACAAATCTTTCCTCTTTAGTGTATTCTGATGGCGTGAAATCCTAATAAATAAACTATATCGTATTGTATAAAAACTATAGATAATTCACACAGAAACGCCTGTATTACATTTTCTTACGTAATAACTCTCGCCGGCGACGCCGTCCGCGTAATTAAAAAAATAGGTAGCCCATGTGTTCCAGACTGTCCTTCAAATATTAGTATTTTTGTATATATTGAAATAACTCAAAAACTACTGGGCCGATTTCAAAAAAAAATTCACCATTAAAAAACTACGATATCAATGCATACACGGGCTACATTTTTGAAATCAACGCGGACGTCACGACGATATCTATACTAATATTATAAAGAGGAAAGATTTGTATTTTTGTATGTATTGAAATAACTCAAAAACTACTGGGGCAATTTTAAAAATTTTTTCACCATTAAAAAGGTAATTTATCTGTGAGTAACATAGGCTATATTTTTTAATATCACGTGGGCGAAGTTGCAAGCAACAGGTAGTATATTATAATTTTATTCCAGGAAGGTTCAGATCCGTTGCCAAAGATAGCAAATGTACTGCAATACTCAGAACATGACTACATGGACGCTTGGCGCGGGATTGAAGACTTGGTTCTCAAAGGTTTAGTGCGTAGAGGCGGCGTTAGTAATTTCAACTCGGAGCAGATACACCGAATTATGGAGAAAGGACGAATTAAACCTGTTGTTAATCAGGTAAATACTTTTCTGTTGGAAATCAGTAGCTAAAATTATCTAAAATAAGCCATATCCCACCACTGGCTGATAGAGGCTCAGATAGCTTAATGACGTCACTGTCAGATAAGGGAACAAAATCCGATACTTCCACCACATTTTACACGTTTGATTGTTATCAGAGAATTTACAATTTAGTGGGACAGGTCCTTAAGGTCCTAGTATAAAAACTAAGGGTTTATATATACTGCTGCAGACTGTTGCTTGCGATTTCGTCTGCATGAAATAATAAAATATAACTTATATTACTCACTGATAACGTAGCTTTCTAATAGTGAAAGTAGTTTTTAAATCGACCCAGTAGTTTTTGAGTTATTTTAATACATACAAAAATACAAATCATTCCTCTTTGTCTATTCTAATGTTATAAAGGGGATATATTTGTATTTTTGTATGTATTGAAGTAACTCAAAAACTACTGGGGCGATTTTAAAAATTCTTACATCGTTATATAATAATAAGTGTGTTTGCTTCATTTGTTTATGTTTCGCGTTTTATGTCGCTTAGATTCTTAAGAGAGGACACATCTTTGACAAAACAATCGCACAACTGTTGTGTTGTCGATTTTTTTGCCAACTGTTTAGTTGCACTAAAAATCGAGTAGCACCTCCATATAAGCTTACAGGGATCATCCACTTGCCTTTATCCCTTACAGAGTCTCGGCACAGTATGTGCTCCATACATCTTTAACAGTGGTAGTGCCCGCTTTAACAACTTAGCACTGCAGGGCTCGCCCCCAGTAATACCACGACCACACAGAAGACAGGCGTCAAATGGAAGCAATTCCATGTTTCGTCTGATGAGTGTGGTGCCGGAGGCCTAATTT